TATTATCTTCTATATTTTTTGTAATAGCTAATGTACTATCATATATAATTTTTTGAAGAACACTATGTACACTATTCACTATTCTGTTACATGTACAAAAATTGATAGTTAAAGCTACTTTTATACCAATAGACAAAGGTAATATACCACATAACACATTTGATTTTACATCTGCTCACTCAAAAATTTTTGTTTTATACTACTATAAACATATCTATTCTTATATGTATTTTCTGTACAAATATAATAAACAGGCTGATTATTGTCCTTTGAATATTTTATTGTAGCTTCAAAGTTTATCTATACTCATAGACTATTCTTTCTAACCAAAAATATAGTATTTTTCCACTCTGGTAAGTTTATTTAATCTGCTAATATTATATAATTGCAAAAAGTTTCATGTTGTAATGTTGTTAGTTTATTATAATGTAAATTTTTTAATATATTTGCATATTTTAAATTATTAATCTGCTGTATTTGTAGCTCTAAGATAATTATATGCTTCACTAATTTCCACATTTCTTTGCCACTAGTATTTATTAGTATATAAGTATTGAATTAATTCACATTTTGCATCTTACTTATCTTAGTTTTATTAATATCAGTAGCTTGATATAATGGTGAATCAAGTATCAGGAGAGGTTGCATAAAGTCTCTAATTAAAAGTATATTTAATCTAGCAAAAAGTACAGTATCTTCTTGAAGATACTTTGCCTCTTTAATATATGTATTAAATTGTGATAAAAGTTCTTGCCCTATTATTAATATTTTATTTATAATAAGATACTCTATATTTGTCTAATAGTCTTGGAGTGTCTTTTTTGGATCTTTGTAAGTAAAGTTATATTTTAAGTCATAATAATCATCATTATTAAATTTAAAATTATATAGCAAATGAAGCATAGAACTATTAATATTCAATGCTGCAAAGCCTGTTAGTATACAGACTTCAAAACTTTGTTTTTAACCAATATGATTAAAATATTAACAAATAGCTTTAATGATCTTTGATTTTTTAGTGCCTCTAGCACTAACTAAGTATATTAATAATTGGGATGGCTTATTAGAACTATTTGGATAATTTTGATTATGATAATCACATAAAAGTATAAAAATTTACCTTTGTTCATTATTTAAACTATATGAAATATTTTGAAATAGATTTATTTGACTTATAGTTAATGCTTATTGTCGCATAGTTGCAGAACAGCCCTTGTACTTGGTTCAGGGCATGTTAGCAGAGGAAGGGGTTAGTGAGCTGAAACGTAACAATGAGATGTCATGGGACACACGTGATGTAATTGGGGTTAATTATGATAAAATGCAGGGTTAGATCAGGATCGGGTTTATTAATTTGGCGTGATTTTATTAATATAGTATGAAGAGATAGTTAATGCTAATTAATTATCAATACTAAAGTCAGATGTAACTGATTTAATTAAGAGTCTAAAAATAGCACTTGCATGAACTATGTAGTAATAATTAGCAATTAGAGATAATAATGCTTGCATGAACTATGTAGTGATAATTAGCAATTAGAGATAATAATGCTTGCATGAACAATGTAGTAATTAGTTGCGAAAAGTAATAATATATAAGGCTTTGATCTAAATAGGGAAAAAGCCTAACTTTTGCTCTCACAATTCCTTTTGCTATTCTTAGTGAATAAACTGTGATCTGTGCAAATACATTATAGGTAGCAGTATCTGGTACAATACTCCAGTCATCGCACATTAGCCAAGTGAGTGAAGTTTGATAGTAAAGACCCACGAATACACAGTAGTCTCAGAAACTATATGACATAAAGGACCTGGGTAAAATAAAGGTCCTCTTGCTCTAATATGAAAGAAAATTAATAAAGGTTAATCATAAAATCAGTTGATAAAACAAAATAACATAACCACGTTCAAGTGATATTTATTATTTATATAGCAACCACTAACTTTACAAAGCTATTTTATCATGGATATAAAAATGAGGATGTTGAGGACTTCTTATTCGATTTTGAAATGTATACCGAATCGAAGAAATAAGAGAATGATCAGAAAATAAAGGTGGTAGGACTTCATGTCTCTGAAAGAGTGTGACTTTGAGTTCGTGAGTTAATGAAGATAGCAACAACTTGGACTAATTTGAAAACTAGTATTACAGATAGTGCAAAAACAAAATATAATG